GGAAGGGAATGATCTGAGCATGCAGGAGGACTGACCCATCATAAACCTTTGTCGGCTGTGCTGAAGAGAAAGCTACAGAACCACATTATTTAATTAATTAGCTGCTCGTTCTCCTGTCCTCTGTCCTCCGGGCCACACACACACACACACACACACACACACACACACACACACACACACACACACACACACACACACACACACACACACACACACACACACACACACACACACACACACACACACACACACACACAAGGGACTGTCTCAGCTGTTATTTTCGTTAAGGAGTGTGCACGTGCAGCAATCGCGCCTCGTGCACGAGCCTACTATTGAAGCTGCCGGTCTGAGGGGGAAATCACGAGCACAAAAATTCAAAACTCTGTAAAGTCCCTTTAATAATAACAGCAATAAATTAATTACCAAACTTGCATTTCAGAGCAATACATGTTTTCTTTTCTGATAAAACAGAATATTGTCATGGTCTGCGTCTGTGTCTTCCTTCATGTGTCTCCTGATGTTTCTCCATCCCTCTCTAGATTCCCTTCTGTGTCTCATAGCGCCCTCATGTGTCTTTTGTCTGCACCTCAGTTAAGAGTCTTATGTTGTTACCCTTTTTAATTATTCCTCCCAGGTCAGCTCCAGCCTCTTGTCCCCAGCTCTCTGTGTGTGTGTGTGTGTGTGTGTGTGTGTGTGTGTGTGTGTGTGTGTGTGTGTGTGTGTGTGTGTGTGTGTGTGTGTGTGTGTGTGTGTGTGTGTGTGTGTGTGTGTGTGTGTGTGTGTGTGTGTGTGTGTGTGTGTGTGTGTGTGTGTGTGTGTGTGTGTGTGTGTGTGTGTGTGTGTGTGTGTGTGTGTGTCCCAGTTAGGTCTGGTGTCCTCTCCTGCTCCTCCTCCCTGATTAGTTATCACTTTCACCTGGATCTCTCCCCTCACACCTGCAGCTCATCATCCTCCCATTATGCCCCAGTGTATTTAAGCCCGGTCTTGTCTCAGTGTCTTGTTGGTCCATTGTTGTTTGTATGTCAGTGTGTTCTGATGCTCTGTGTGAGCTTTGTACCTCGTTCCAGTTTGTGCTCTAGGTGAGCTTTTGTTCCTTCTGGACTTTTGGATTTTTTGGCTCGCTGCCTTTGGATTTATTTTTGTTCCTCCGGCTAAATAAAATGATTTTACTCATTCATCATCTCTGCCTCGTGTCATCCTGGGTACTGCATTTTGGGTCCTACCAACACCGCAACGTGACAAATATAATAGTAACAATGACTCAACAGCACAGCCACCAGCATTTGAAACTGTAAAACATTTACAAGTCGTATTGTAATAATCCTGCGGGTCCCTTATGGACAGAAGTCTTGTCCTTGTCAGAGCCTTCGTCTGCTCACGCAGTCCGACTGTTCTCCCAACCACGAGCATCAGTGTGTGTGCGCTGCGACTGCGTACAACAGTGTGTTCAGGACAAAAAGAAAAACCAAACATTACTATAAGGACTGAAAAGCTAGCTTCCATTAGCTTAGCATGCTAACCAGAGTAAATATCATCTATAAAGTTATTAATGTAATACAAACACAGCTAACTTTTTCAAAATACACTCTAACAACACTTATATATCTGTAACAGGTCCTCTTGATATATTAACTAAAGGATAAAATGACTTAAGTGCAGAGCGGCTTCAGTACACCGACCTCCACCAGCTGTGAGAACTTTGTCTTTCTTTGTGGACAAAGTCAATAAGGTTAGATCTAGCATCTCTCCTTCAGCCTTATCGCTGCCTCTCCTGACTCCAACCAGGCCCATCATCCTAGATAGCTTTGCTCCTGTTTCTTTGCCTGAGTTAACCAGACTAGTTAACTCTATGAAGACCTCTGCATGCCCCCTCCACATCTTACCCTCGTCTTTGTTTAAAAGTGCTTTTCAGTCCATCGGTCCCAGCGTGCTCTCTATAATTAATGCTTCTCTGGTCAGGTCCCTGCTTACTTTAAGAACGCTGTAATCCACCCGCTTCTTAAAAAACCGAGTCTCGACCCCTCTCTCCATAGCAGCTTCAGACCCATCTCTAAACTTCCGTTCATCTCCAAGATCTTGGAAAAGGTTGTGGCTAAACAACTCACAGCTGCTCTTGATGAACATAACATCTATGATATCTTCCAGTCAGGTTTTCGTAGAGCTCATTCTACTGAAACAGCTCTTCTTAGGGTCTCTAATGACCTTCTGACCCACAGTGATGCAGGGGACTGTTCTGTTCTGGTCCTGCTGGACCTGACTGCAGCCTTTGACACTGTTGACCATCACCTGCTACTGGAGAGGCTCAGAGTCTGGGTAGGCCTATCAGGATCTGCTCTGGAGTGGTTCTCCTCTTATCTCTCTGAGCGCTCCTTTTCTGTGGCTGTCTCCAAGTTTAGGTCCCCCACCACCTCTCTTACCCATGGTGTCCCACAAGGTTCTGTGCTGGGGCCTCTGCTCTTCCTCCTCTATCTGCTTCCTCTTCAACACATCCTGAGCTCCTTCAAAGGAATCTCCTACCATGACATCCAACTGTACATCTCCTTTAAGTCCCATGAGATGTCTAAGCTGCAGCTGTTACACACCTGCTTAGACTCTATCAAAACCTGGATGGCTGGGAGCTTTCTACAGCTGAATGAAGATAAGACTGAGATCCTCATCTGTGCCCCAGACAAGCTGGTTCCCAAAGTCAGAGACTCTCTTGGTCAGCTTGCTTCTCACACCAAACCCTCTGTCAGGAATCTTGGCGTGACCTTTGACCCAGCTCTCACCCTGGATTCTCATGTCAGTTCTCTTGTTCGCTCTTCCTTCTTCCATCTCAGGAACGTTGCTAAGCTGAGTCCCATTCTGTCCCACTCTGAACTTGAGACAGCTCTCCACACCTTCATCTCCTCACGCTTAGACTACTGTAACTCTCTTTTCACGTGTCTGAGCAGAACCTCCCTGAACCGTCTACAGGTGGTTCAGAAGGCCTGTGCTCGGCTTCTGACCAAGTCCTCCAAACACACCCACATCACCCCGCTTCTCCTCCAGCTTCACTGGCTGCCAGTCAACTTCAGGGTTCATTTCAAGATCCTGGTTCTGGTCTATAGGGCCTTACATGGACAAGCACCCTCTTACATTGGTGATCTTCTTAGTCCCTACACCCCCAGCAGGTCCCTGAGGTCCAGTGATCAAAGCCTACTGGTTGTGCAGCACCAGGCTAAAGACCAAAGTTGACAGATCATTTGCTGCTGTGGCCCCCAGACTCTGGACCTCTCTCCCCCTGAGCCTGAGATCAGTGGACTCAGTGGTCTCCTTCAAAAAGCAGCTGAAGACTCACCTGTTCAAGCTGGCTTTTGTATTCAATTCAAATTCAAAAATACTTTATTAACCCCAGAGGGAAACTGATTGCTGTAGTAGCTCAGAATAATAATAATATTCAAGTCATCAAAGAGTTGTATATTACAATGGCTGTTGGCAGGAAGGATCTCCAGTAGCGGTCAGTGTTGCAGCCAAACTGAAGAAGCCTCTGACTGAAGACACTCTTCTGTTGTCGGACAGTCTTGTGAAGAGAATGCTCAGGGTTGTCCATCATTTTCTTGATTCTCTGGAGAATCCTTCTTTGTATGATCTCCTCAAGCGGTTCAGAAACTGCCGAAACTCTGGCTGAGTCCTTGAAAGGGCTTGGAGTTCCTCCATCTTGTTGGCCAGTGATCTCACATTGCCCATTATGATTGATGGAAGAGATGGTTTGAATTTCGTCTTCCTCTGTCTCCGTTTTGCTCCCACTCTGCACCCACGCTTCTTGCGTTTTAGCTCATTTGGGATTTGTGGCTTCAGTTGAGGTATTATTTCAGCCTTTCCAATGTTAATCAGCTGCTCCCGATTGTAAACCAGCTTGATGCCATGGTTACACATCATAACAAATGCTCAAAAAGTAAAAAAAGCTAAAAAAAATAGCTGTAAAAATCCTCTAAACTTCACAGCACCAGAAACAGAAAAGTAAAGTGTCCAAAAAATGTAGTTTTTCTTGAGAAACCAGAAGAAAAAATGTCCAAGAAAAGGCAAAACTTACATATAGTCAACAGAGCTACTCCAACATGCAGCCGCCCAGAGCAGCGCAGTTCCGGAATAAATAAATAAATAAAAAAAATATACGACCTTCTTCACCACACTCTTTATTCTGCTCTCCCCACCTATTCCACCTTCCTCAGGATCCACTGATTTCCCTCTTTCCTGTTCACTCTCTCTCTTTCTTAACATTTATTTAATCCCATTTGTCTATTTTTGCTCATTTTAAATATATTTTTAAACAGTTTCTAAATGCTTTTTTATATTTTTACATATTTTGTTATGGGGAAGCACCTCGTGATTTTTATCTTGAGAGGTGCTATAGAAATGATATTTTCTTCTTCTTCTTCTTCTTTCATCACTGCTTTGGTGGGAGGGGCCGTGACGGGAGTGCACCTGAAGGACCCGTTGCATGCAGCTGCGCCTAACTACCAGTGGGTGGCTCCAAAAACACAAACAATCACTGTACATCACTTTTGGTGAAATTCACATTTTCATCTCTGTTACACGACTCCAAATGTTGAAATTGAAAAAAACATTTAATTTGAACAAATTTAGATGTAAGACAAAATATTGAGATTTATTTCTAAATATAATTTAGAACTTTTTTATTAAATGTGCTTCTAAATCATATTTAAAGAGCAAGTCACTCCAAATCAACAATTTTTTTGCTGATAAACTATATAAATGAGTGTCTGAGCATGCTGTTGGCAAATGTAGTCAATAATTCGGCATTTTAGTTCTTCTTAGTTAAAATTTAAATATTCTGCCTAAAACTGTCAGTGTTGTGCCGTTGTCAGGTAAAAACTCTGCACTGCATTTGAATTTAAATCTGCCACCGCTATTGGCTAAGAGGTATGCTATGATGTAATCTGGTACATTATGATGTCACAATGTTGTGAGTGTGTGTGTGTGTGTGTGCGCGTGTGCGTGTGTGTGTATATTTGTTAGCGGCTCCGCCCTCTCGGTCTGCTAGGCAACAGCATTTGTTGCATTTTTCAAACAGGAAGTGGGAGCGGAGTAATACTCTGATAGGGGGTGACTTGCTCTTTAAACTCTGACTAGATAACGGGCTCCTCTTAAACACAAGTAAACAGTTTCAAAACAAGGAAACGCAAACATTAAAGTCGGTGACGTTTTGAAAGGATGAATGAGTTTTACGTAATCAGACGCTCCTTTACAACTAAAATCAGATCTGTGCGCAGCTCTTTTATCCCACGCGCACGCGCGTGTGTGCGCAGCCCTGTTATTCCACGCGCACGCATGTGTGTGCGCACGCAGCCAGTCGCTCCCAGGCGAAGTTGAGGCTGCAGCTCTCGTGCAGGACAGGACTCTGCTGCTGCTGCTGCTGACAGCTTTAATGACCGCCTTCAGTAGGTGCTGGGATGGATCATGAGGAGGGCTTTCTGGCAGAGGCGTGTGGAAGAACAGCGAGCTGTTGTGTCTCCTGGCTCCGCGATGGTGGCACCTCCGTGCGCTTTCTCCTTCCTTCCATCCGGACGAGGGACGCAGGCGAAGTGAGCCACTGGCGTCGACATTTACCCGAATCTCAGCCTGAGAACAGCCCGGCAAGGGGGTGAACCCCGGCGGAGCCATGGAGAAGCAGAGCAGGGTGAAGGAGGAAGCGACGAAGGAAGCGAAGCGCCGAGAGAAGAAGCCCAAACCCGGCAAGCTTTTCCGCAAGAGATCCCTGAAGTCGTTGGGGAGCTTCATGAACAGGATCATGAAAACTTTGGGCACTTTCACGCATTTTGGAGACGCTGACGCGCAGGACGCGGAGGACGACGACGGGGGGTTTGGAGATGGCGCACCTTGCACGCTCAGCGCCAGCGCGGGAACCATCAAGGACGACGCACAGCCAGCGACGCGGGACCGGGGGGTGAAGACACCCCCTAGCACGTCCTCCTCGCTGTGCGCCGGCAGAGACAAACTCTTGTACCGGTACGGAGACAAGATCCCCGGGGTGCTGGGGCTGAAGAACCACGGAAACACCTGCTTCATGAACGCGGTGGTTCAGTGTCTGAGCAACACCGACCTGCTGGCGGAGTACCTGGGCCTGGATAAGTACCGGATGAACCTGGCTCGGGGCAGAACCAGGAACGGACTGGTGGTTGTGGACGAGACGCGCCAGGTGAAGGGAGAGGTGACGGAGCAGCTGGCATCTCTGATCAGGGCTCTGTGGACCCTGAGGTACACCCCCCAGCTGTCCGTGGACTTCAAGGTAAACCCCTTAAAGCTGCAGGAGCCACCCACTCGGGTCACCATCATCCCAAAGCTGCTGCTGGGATGCTGAAGATGCACCAGTGGCGTGTCCAGATCTTTTAAAATGGGGTGGCCCAAGTGAAGCACAACTTTGTGCATGGGTGGCACCAATGGTTATGCTTTTCTTGTTTTACCCCCAAGCCTTTTATGGACAATGAAAAACTTGTTTAAAGGTAAATTAGTGTGTTGGCACCTGGGGTGGCCAATCAGATTCCAAGGGTGGCATGTGCTACCCCAGGCCACTCCCTGGACATGCCCCTGAGATGCACTTAGTCCTGTTTCAGGTGGCCTCCTGCAGCCTGCCTGCTAGGTGATAAGAGGTCAGTCAGGGCACAGGTTCAGAGGGCGCCCAAATCAAACACAACACCGGGCTTCAGGAGGAGGAAAGTCCTCTGATCTGGAAGATAAAGTTTATGTGAAAAGTAACTTAGAACCTGATGACTTCAGACGGAGCGGAAATCATTCAAGATGGCCGCCACATCAGACCAGCATCAAAAATAAACAAAAAAGGCACAAATTCTGGCAAGTTCACAGTTATTAAGCATAAATGTGGTGTCGTAGTAGCTGGGAGGAATAAAACGTCTCTGACTCCATCAGCCTTACAGATGTTGAGCTGATGTTTGGTACAGCTGGCTAGTTTCTGTCCCAAACGCCGTAGGAGATCGGTCTCGCCACGCTCCTGTAGCCTCAGCAGCTCTACCATTGGCCCGAACCACTTTATGTCTAGCCAATCACAGCGCTCTACGTTTGTAGAGAGACGCTGGGCGGGCTCAGCACCAGACGGAGAAAAACCACAAAGATGGCGTCGGCTCAGAAACGGCTTTGGTGCCAACTCTAGTCTTGGGCTTTTCTGTGAAACACGAGCAGAAAGGACGATCTCGCTTCTTCTCTGACGGCGCACGGCGGACTGATTTCCAACTCGAGTTAGGACGACACATTGGGAAGTGCTGCTTTTGTTCACTAGGAGGACGTCTGAACGGGTCTCTGTTGTTACTGAGAGGAAACGATAGCAAAGAGGAGATGATTAGCTTCATAATCTGTCCTCCTCCTGGATGAAAACAGACCCTCGGGCTTCCAGAGACGCCGGTCAGGCCGGGAATGCGCTCGTGGCCGACTGCGGCCATTTGCTCTGGGTTCCTCTGAGCTTCGGTGCGAGGCGACGACTAGATAAGGAACTCACAACGGGTTTATTCTCAGGAACGCCGACTGCTCGGCAAGAATGGGCACGGGAATAACCGGACTTGTTTTTTTCGTCGCAGAAAAGTTTAGCTGAGGTGGCGAGTGAAAGTCGTCGCAGCACGAAACGCCGTAACGCTTGGTTTATGCTTGGCGCATTCACTTTCCGTGCGGTGATGCGGCTCGCGGATGGAACGCGCTTCACAACTTGCAGCGTTTATGGTTCATGCGGCTCATCTCTGCGGTGAGCCAATATTCTCCCAAACTGTAGGGGGCAGCATGGAGCTCTACGGCATGCATCCAACACTACACCATAGTAGAAGTAGAAATTACTGTTTACAACATGGCATTCCAGCATTTTTAACAGCGTTCTCGTCTTTTCCGACAGTGCGAGCTATTTCTCTCCAAGAATTATTAACAACATGTTGATCACGGTGATCTCTGAGAGCTGAATCATACAAATGTCTGTATTTACGAACCTCTGCCGTACTAGTTCTTGCCGGTCCGCCATGTTTTTCCGCATCCGTCCGTCCGCGTGGTTAGAAATTGTCCGAGGTGCGCGTTGTGGAAATTCTGGGCCGTGCGGAGGTGAATGAGGGCGCGGTTGTTAAAATGACGCAACTTTTCCGCGCGGAGCCGTGCGGACCTCGCGGACGCGTCAAGCATAAACCAACCTTAACGGTCTCTGATGCAGAGAATGGAAGGGACTCTACTTTCCTCCTCTGTCGTTGCGCTCGGCCTGCATGTCCACCTGCACGCCTCAGCACAAGCAGCTCCTCACATCTCAGCTAGACCAACAGACAGGTTCAAATGAAAGCGCTAAACATTGTGCTTTGTGTGCGGTGAGATGTTTCCTGCAGGGATGCACGCACACACACACACATGCATGCACGTGCACTGCTGCTCCCCTTGGCAGCGCTGTGACCATGAAGAGGCCCCGAGTTTGTGCAGCTCAAGTCCTCTGAAATTGCCAGTTGAGTAGTTCTGCGGCTGCCTGGAAGGAGGATTATGGAGCGATTAGATGGCCGTGGGGCTCGTCCCCAGCTGCAGGAACAGAAAAGCAACACAAAGCTGCACTAAAGACTGGTCCTTATTTAAGTTGCTCTATTAATTTGTCGACTTTCTAAGTCGATGACATGATGCTGACCTCTGAAAGTCATGGGATTTCTGCTTAGAGCTCCTTAAGGCTCCGCTAAAGCAGAAAGATTAACCCATTAAGGAGTGCTGTGACCTGTAAACGTGGGAAAAGGTGTCGAGTGTCTGGCATCAGGTCCTGGTGGGCTGGGGGAACGCGTCACACCGCCGCGGTTTACGCTGGATGCTCAACTTTAGATTCTGCTGAATGCGTTTGTCGTTTCGTGCGCCCTCACTGTTAAACGTGTGCAGATCGTCTCTGTTGACCAAAGCGCTTCAAAGCAGCCTCGTAACAGGTCAGACTCCTGCGGAGGAAAAGAAGAAAGCCCGCAGAGACGAGTCTTAAAATATTCTTGCCACATTTGTTTGGCTTTTAAAGCTGAGCTCTGAGATCTGCCGAAGTGGGGCTCGGTAAAAAGGTTATGAAAAACTAACACCTTACCTGTTGTAGAGTCAGCCGAGCCTCAGTTGGTAGCAACAGATTAGTTTGGACTCGATTGATAGGCTAACAGCTAGGGCTGTGCATGTTTTTATTTGGACTCCAGCTGCTGATGATCACAGAAACAACGTCATTGTTATAAAATGATTATTACTGAAACTATTTAGTTATAATCCACGTTACAAGGATGCTTTCACAGGTCCGTGCCTTTTAAGGGATGCACAACTGGATGTTTTCAGACATCGGCACACAAATGTGGGCAAGACGTAGTGTGTGTCAAAAATACACGTTTCCCATTATTTTCTATTTAAAGTTATGTAAAAAGTCTCCACGTGGTGTTATTTCCTAAAGCCAGAACTCCAGAAAACCCCTTTTGATTGCTTGTGGTGCATTATGGGTAGTACATGACCAATCTGACTTGGGCTAGCACACTGGTGTAGATCAGGGGTGCCCAATCCTGGTCCTGGAAGGCCAGTATCCAGCTGGTTTAGTGCTTTTTCTGCTCCAACACACTTGATTCAGTGGTGAAATCACCTCAGCAGCAGCTCATCAGGCTCTGCGGACGCCTGTTAATCATCTGCTGATTGAAATCAGGTGTGTTGAAGAAGAGTTAAAACTAACCGACCCTCTGGGACCGGTACTGGGCACCCCTGCTGTAGACGCAGCACCAGTCCAGCAATCTCCCGCTCCATTTTCCCCTCATAAGTGAACACGATTCTCGGAGTCGGACCTCATCCCTGACCCGGAAAAGGCCCTCTACCCTTTTTTGTCTCGAGACCACGGTCTCGGATAGAAAATGATCATTTCCTGATAACGATACAGCACCGTTGTATTTCCACGTGGAAGAGCGAGCTAAATCAAGACCAACACTCACACTCTTCCACTTTGTCGGGTGGTGTTTCCTTCTAGTAAAGGTCGTTGTCTGGAAACCAAACGAGTTCAGAGGTCGCTGTGTTTTCTCCTCCTCTCGCCGTAGCCCGTCTCTCAGAAGGAGCAGCAGGAGGCAGCTGCAGCTCACGTCCAGCCTGTCCATCACTTTCACGCACGGGTGTCCAAACTCGCCAAGGTCGAAATCATTCGGTCCACAGGTGTGTGATTTCCTCACTGCTCAACGAAAGGCGTCGTGTTTGTGAAAGTCTGAAGACAAAACAGATAAAAATGTTGATCTGCATCAAAAGTCTGCAGCAGAGGGCCAGACAGAAACCTCTCAGGACCACAGACGGCCCACGGGACCAACTTTGAGCCATGCCTGCTGTAACGTGTGGGAAAACTGCAGATTTGTCTCACGACATCCTCACAATGACCAGTTCTACCACGCTGCCCCTCATTCGGAGGTGAAAGCCTCAGTTTTGTTTCCTTTTTTGGAGCGGCACGAGGTCAGTTTGTTGTTTTTTAAAACGTGAAGCTGAGAGGGAAGCTTGCCGGGCCGGAGGACGGAGCAGTTTATGGTCATGGCTCAATAAAGACGCGATCGATACAACCTCATTCTTCTCGTCGCTAGCAAACTGCACACGTTAAACGGGTAGGAGCTAACGTTTACAGCAGTCCTGCTGTAATGGAGGGTTTAAATATTCACAGCCATATAAATATATGTATTCTGTCTTCTGTTAAACGGTTACACGCGCGTCAGAGTGACCATTACGCCGCAGACGGGCTTTTCCTCAGCTGTAATTATGTCACAGAGACAATTGCCACCTTCAGAGAGCTGATGGTAATCACCGTTATTGCTCCGCTGTAATGACCGGCTGCAGAGCGGGTCACCGTTTACACGGCTGCAACGCCACAACAACTCAGCCGGGACCGATGCTGCAGGAGCGTGGGGTTTTAACGGGCTGCTGCAGCAAGATGAGACCGAGTCGGTGTGGAAATAAATCGCTTTATTGAGACTACACAGATGTTTAAAGAGCAAGTTCACTGAGAAAAGCTTTTTTTACTTATTGGTTTTGAAATATGATCACAGGCTGAACATGAAAACAGTCTCCTACACCTATTTCCTACAATAGCTTCTGATAGAAAATAGTCTCCTACACCTATCTCCTACATTAGCTTCTGATAGAAAATAGTCTCCTACACCTATCTCCTGCATTAGCTTCTGATAGAAAATAGTCTCCTACACCTATCTCCTGCATTAGCTGCTGATAGAAAATAGTCTCCTACACCTATCTCCTGCATTAGCTGCTGATAGAAAATAGTCTCCTACACCTATCTCC